TGTATGGCTAATTGTACACTTTTTTGTTCTGTAGCTCTGCCCCCAAAACACTTTGTACAAATATATGACAGGTTTGCATAGGTTTCATCCTTCAGTTTGAAACCCATTGGTTGTGACAATGAACACTGATGTTTGTCAGTATGATGCAGGGACAGAGAGTGTAAAGTGTTGTGATTAAGAATCTTGTGGTTCAATGCAAAAGGTAACATGCTGTATAAGAGAGTAAAATATACAAATATGCATTATTTATGAATGCTGTTAAGGGCTCGATTAAGCTGGCCAAAAACTGGTCGATTTTCGTATGAACATTCATACGATTCATCTTGTGAGAACATTCAATAATGCCATTAGAGACTTGGCAAATGTTGTTCAAAATTTTGTTTAACATTTGATTTTGAAATTAATTTTCCCGAACAAAATCCACATTCACTGTTAAGATTTTGTTGGAGAAAAATATTCCATCCTGCTTCTTTGATTTTTTTGTTACTAAGGTTGGAAACAATCATCAGTTTGACCCCATCAGCTATTAGAAAATCCAACAAAACATTCTGAAAACGAATATTTGCAAACAGAATTCTACAGGGTGCATGGCCGGCTTTAGAACATCTGTCTTCTTATTTTAGACTTGCTGGTCCTTTAAGAAAGACTTTCCATACTGAATACTTTAAACACACCCTGTCACATTAGATGTATATTCCTGATAATCTGATACATTAGTATTCCCTAGAGTCTTCATGGAAGCCGAGTGTTGGGATAATGATATTACAGATATGGGATCCAGATGCTACCATTGTGGGTTATTATTTCTTTATGAATGGTTTAGTGCATGGGTTCGTTAGGCCTAACCAATTTGTTACCAGATATTTTACTTAATTTTCAGCAAGTCCAATTGTCTCCAGCTGCCTTGGATGTTTTCCCTTAAACCTGATTTGTTAGTAGTATAGAAAAAATAGTGCAATGTGATCTTGGGAGGCTAGATGACTTGTCTGCTGGGAATGACCTATAACCTTTTTCAGCATGTGAGTTTACTAACCTTTGTTGTAGACATGCATCTTTTTCCAGATAGAATTTGCACAATAGTGACACCCACTGGACAAGTTAAACTGCTTCTACTGTTTAATGGAAATGTGCTGATCAACACAATTAGGTGGAATTCATGATTTAACTTGGTTATCTTCCACCAGTTTGAAAAGTAAGGATTCTTCGGAGCACATGTTTACCTATGCATTCCATGAGTGCACTGATAGAAGAAATGTGTTTTATCAGACACAGTACCGATGCATCAATCCTGATGCATCACACTTTTTAAAAAAAATTGTTAGAACTTTATAGAAATATCACAAGTAACATTTCATTAAGTTCTATAGGCAAAGCGCAGTGTGATGAGTTGTACCACATCGTGGCTGGCTTCACTGAAAAAAATTACAGCATCCATTAGAGTGCCCCCTTACATCAGTTGTTTCCCATTAGAGTGCCCCCTTACATTAGGTGTTCCCATCAGAGTGGTCCCTTACATTAGTTGCTGGCCATCAGAGTGCCCCCTCACATTAGATGCCCCCATCAGAGTGCCCCCTTACATCAGTTGTACCCATCAGAGTGCCCCCTTACATCAGTTGTCGCCATCAGAATGCTCCCTTACATTAGTTGTCCCCATTAGAGTGCACCCTTACATTATTTGCCGCCATCAGAGTGCCTCCTTACATTAGATGCTGTATTCAGCGTGCCCCCTTACATTAGTTGCTGCCATCGGAGTGCTCCCTTACATTAGTCGTCCCCATCAGAGTGCCCCCTTACTTCAGTTGCCCCCATCAGAGTGCCTCCTTACATTAGATGCCCCATTCAGCGTGCCCCCTTACATTAGTTGCTGCCATCGGAGTGCTCTCTTACATTAGTCGTCCCCATTAGAGTGCCCCCTTACTTCAGTTGCCCCCATCAGAGTGCCTCCTTACATTAGATGCCCCATTCAGAGTCCCCTCTTACATTAGTTGCCGATATAGGAGTGTCCCCTTACATTAGTTGCTGCCATCTGAGTGCCCCCTTACATTAAATACAAAAAAAGGGAGAACGCTGATGGGGAAACCCAATATAAGGGGGCACTCTGATGGGGACAAGCAAGGTAAGGGGGTATGCTGATATGGACCCCCAATATAATAATAATTAGTTATCCCCGCTGCCGTCTTACATTGGTTGTACCCATCAGAGCGCGCCCTTATTTTTGTATTTATTATAAGGGGGCACTCAGGTGGCAGCAGCTAATGTAAGGGAGCAGTCTAATGCGGATAACTAATAGGTAATTGTCCCCATCAGAGTGCTCTCAGCCAGCCATAACCTAGTCGGCGATCGCGGTCCCAATAGAATCGCTGCTCAGTCCAGATCTGGATACTGACAGCAGGAGAAAACAAAGTGAGAAAGACGAGACCATCATTGTGCTACTTCTACTTTCACTGTCCAGTCACAGGCTACAGTGGGTTTAGGGCAACCTAGGCTCAGAGCAAGTGGATTGAATGATGCTCGCCATCAGACTGAGAATATCCAGTAGAAGCAAAAAAAGTACTGCAGAGAAAATCTCCTGATTAAAGCTGAAAATAACTGCACTGGTTTTGTTGGTTTTTCTTTTAATGGCTATTCATTTTTACCTTGTTATTTTTTGCTGGAGTTCTGCTTTAAATCCACTCAAAGGTTTTCATGGCCATGACAGTGAACAGTGCTCTTTGTATCAGCTTTTAATAGTGCTTAGACACTTCTTTATTAAAAAAATAAATGCAATCTTTCTTTACTAAATAAGATTGATGTGTAGTATCTGGATACTTTGCACTATACAAGTAACAAATAGTAATAATAATCACCACCTGACTGCAATGTCTTGTCACAAAGGAATAAAGTAGCTCTTGTCTTGAACTAGTTAGGATTTATTGGTCTACAATAAGCACAGCTGCGTGTTTTCATACTTCCCATCGTTATTTGTTAGTAAAGTACCATCTCCAGAAACATCAGATGTGCAGAGTTCATCATTTCTACACAAGAGATGTTTTTTTCCCAAGCAGAGGGATATCATTACAGGCAATGGAGGCTTTCCGTCAGCGCCAGCAGGGCTCACTTATTAGGGCACGGAGGTGTATTTTGCTGATGCAAAGCGATTGCCATCAGTTATTAGCTATTCAAACAGTCCGTCTCAGACTATTCAGTGGAGGTTTTGTAAGAACTGCAAGATAAGCAAAGATACTGAAACAAGTTATTTAGGGCATCACAAGTCTTTCTGCATGTACCCTCTGAAATCTCCTGGAGGTCCTTTTCAAAGCAAACCTAAGTCTTAGATCTTCATAGGGAGATGTGCGGTTCAAGTTCATGTCAATGGTGTTTCCTTTATAAAGAGCGAGGCTTGCACTTAACTTGTACTATTGTTCTGAGACTTTGGTGAGCTGTAATGTCAACAACGTTTATTTGAAACAAAATTACGTATTATGTTAAAGACTCAATAATCCAAAATATTTATCAGAAATATGTGTAAAATTCCTATACATCTATGGCAATAAAGATTTGGGGTGATTCAATAAAAGTAAAACTAAAACTCCTCAAACACAGCACTCCTAATTACAGTAATATCTAGATAAAAACTACCTGAATATAGTAAAAGTCATAACTGCTGGATGAGTAATACCTTTAAAAAAAAAAAATAACTAAACAACCAAAGTAGTAATATACAGGTATCAGCAAGTACTCTGGTGTGTACAATTTTAAAGAAACACTAAACTCAGGAGTTAAAACCTTAAAAATGCATTCAAATACCCAAACTATAAACAAAATTTAGCTTATTTGTGTATCTCTCAGCTGTATATCCTCAAATCATCTCTGAATTCATGCTGACACTGTCCATCCTTCTGGAGGGTGGCGACTTTTGTTCCCCATGGTCCCTGTGTATGTTGTAATGTAAGGTAGTCCATCACAGGAGCATGCTTGGAGTGGTGGCTACTTTACAACACACACAGGGACCATGGGAAATAAAAGTAGCCACCCTCCAGAAGGAAGGACAGTGTCAGCATGAATTCAGAGATGATTTGAGGATCTACAGCCGAGTGATACACAAATTAGATACATTTTTGTTAATAGTTAAGGTATTTTAATGTATTTTTAAGATTTAACTCCTGAGTATAGTGTCACTTTAATAAAACATTAAAGCAATACAAACTAAATACAAACATATAATCAAGGTGTAAAATGAGAGCTTTCAAAATGTAGTAAATGCCAATTATAAAATTGTGCAAATATCCTTCTGTTACATTGTGCAAATATCCCTCTGTGGTAACCAAAAGCAACCAATACAATTCATAAAGTGCTAATATCCATCTGTGTAATTTACAGTTCAGCTTATTGAGCAAATATCCTAATGTGGTAACCAGTGGCAAGGAAAAATCAATGTCCAAAAGCTCCAATATTCTCCCAGGTGACAAAAGATGTTCACCAAAGCTTGACTGGGTAAACTCACTGGATTGGGTTGACCTTAAATCAAAAGGTCAAAAAGCAATTTTTTGGATTCATAAAAACGTCACTCCTCTGCCTTTGGATCCTTATATCCCCCTTCGATGCTCCACATTAATATAATACATTTAAGAGTTCTGACACAACAGATTCAGGTAGTTCCTATTTGCACCACTTTCAAAATGTGTTGCTAAGGCTGCAACAGATTTAAAAAGAATTACTGCCAGTGTGTAGATAACAAAACTTAAGGTAATTAAGACCAATTCTAAGTTGGTGCATAGATATAAGCATGTAAACATGCCCTGCTCTTTACTAGACCATGGAGATACTTTGTAAGAGCAGGATATCTTTGCCTTGTAAAGCCGCCATGAATGTGACAACTTCCTCCTAATGGCTGGTTGGTTGCTAGGATGCTTCCCGGCCCCAATCACAGTACTTCTAGGACTGTTTTACTAACTTATATGCACATTATTTATTTGTCCTTTTCAACTAATTTTGATTTTTTTTTCCTTCCTATAATACAGGGAATATGATGTAAACAAAATAAATTACATGTATGCCCAATATGTGGCAAATACCATGGAACCACTGAACATACCCAATGTGTGCAAAGACAAGAGGTTTTCTTGGACAGTAAGTTCATGACATTTGACTTGTTTGCAAAACTGACCAGGGGCAAGTTTTTATGTTAAAGATTTTTTGTGACATACAGTATACTGTATATTGACCTATAATTATATGCATTGGTCTGTAATTACAGAAATGACAAATGTAGAAACATATAAAAATTGGTTAAGGTACTGTATAAGACCAACTAAAAATTATAATGGTGTTTTAGACTGACATGGACCTTTTATAACTATTAAGCACTAAGTGGAGAGATCCTCCACCAAGATCCCAGTTCCACCTCCACCATACTTGTAATTTTTCTGGTTTGGCATATATTGGTAATGCAGCTCCTACTATTTTCTGCTGGAAGGTTGAGGGTCTGAGATTTCAGAGGGAAGGCCCTATGCCTGCATCCAATCAGATTGTTCAGGTATTTTGACAGCCAGCGGGGCTGACTAGCAAGATACTAAAACTTGGCCCAGTGGGAGATTACTCCATCCACATAGTTTAGCGTAGATGGAAGAATCTGTTGCACTTTTTCCATTTGACCATAGAAAATCTGCAGATAATCTATAGATGCATGACCAGCTTAGAGATGTGAGCGGGAACATTATTTCCTGTGTCTTTGTCATAAATACTGTTGGACATGACATGAGAGGACTCCTGCCCAATTATGTATTTTGGTACAGCCTTTGTCTCCATAAAGAGGACCGGTCAGTGTGCCTTTGCTATTATATAGGGGGATTGTTATTCCAATATGTGATAACAATAACAATAAGTGTAAAAAAAACATAAACAAGTAAAAATAAAATAATAATCACATATAAAAAAATAAATAAATTAAGTCCCCCACCCCCACATTTACGCACATAGAAACGTAAATACGCGTTCGATGCGGCAGCGTGCGAAAATGAAAATTGCGCTACACATGTTACGAACGTCTGAGTGAGAGCAATCATTCTAGGGCCATCAATCACTGATAACACTAAACTGATGAGCGGTAAAAGCTTTTAAGCCTTCGCCTATGGCCAATTTTGGGTATTGTAGTTTATTTAGGTTTCACGCGTGCACACAATTTTAAGGCTTGACATGTTTGGTGTCTATTTACCTGATGTGACCCCGTCTTTTATATTTTACCAAAAAATTGGGGAATAATAATTGTTTTATCATTTAATATAGGGGAAACCTTTTTTTTTTTTTTAATTCGGTAATTTTTCCTTAATATAGTAAAAAATAAAACCTCCCAATGGTGATTAAATACCACCAAAAGAAAGCTCTATCTGCCCCCCCAAAATGGTATAAAATTCATTTCAGTACAGCGTTGCATGACGGAATAAATGTCTGTCAAAGTACTGCAGCGCTGAATACTGGAAAATGGCCTGGATGGGAAGGGGGTTTAACACCGCGTACTTCAACTGGTTAAACTATTACACCTTTCTGCCGGCTATTTTTGTGCGTTAGAAGATTTTTGTTCGCTTCCACCTGCTCAGACTGCTCCTTCTTGAATTTCACCTTCCTTGAAATAAGGGTGGGATTTTCTAGGTTTTGCCTCTACCGCATGACCCCTTCTTGTGAGTTTGCAAAGTGTGCATATTTGTTTTCCTGTACACATTGCAAATGAGCAAGAGCATTGTAAAAGCATATTGCACGGTCTCTGAAATAAAAAGCACATTGCTTAACTCTACTCGTTTATTTATTTCTTTACTTCACACACCACTGGTTTGCTTCACATGGAAAATTGCACGGCACAGGGTCCACATTAAATGCTCCACATGGAAAATTGCACGGCACAGGGTCCACATTAAATGCTTCACATGGAAAATTGCACAACACTGGGTCCACATTAATTTAACAAAATCATCATCCATTCGGCTTAGTAATTATAAATATATTCCTATTTTTATCTAGTTGGGCTTTTGTTCAAATGGTATTTATAACGCCAACTAGTTAATTATGGAGTGAGCTTGGGTCATTTTGCTTACTGTGCAATGGACTGACTTTTTCCTTTTGGTTCCCCATATACACAAGATATTACTGGTCTCTTGAGATCAATTATACACAACTAATCCCAGGCAAAGAGATCATACTTGCCTTAAACCCAAACAGCATTATAAATTAAATATGGATCTTCAGATTTAGTTATGTATCATTGTATCCACATACAACAATTTTCCATTCTGCTAATATTAAAACATTTGGTTTGGCTAGGGAGCATCCGGTTCATTCAGTTATGCAAGCTGAATAAATATTTACACCCCCCTAAAAACCCTACTTAGAAAAGGATGGAAGTTTCCTTTGTCATGTCAGCAATGACGGTCTCTCAAGATTCACTATTTACAATGAATAAAGAAAAATCATTATCAGCTTGGTCCAGATCCTGAGCAAGTGGAAAGTTACAGTGATTTGAATGGTGTATATACAGACTTGCACTCTGTGGGTTATTGAACAGCTACCATGGGAGAATTGTTATTACACAGCATTGGTGTCAGCTGTAATATGTGATTTTATCTTAATGCAAACATTAATAAGACAGTACAAAGAGCAGTGATGAGTAGTGACCCATAGCAGCCAAACAGATTATAATAAGCGTGGAGCTATCATAATGAATGATTCGTTCTGATAAGCAGGTACAGGTAGGTGAATTAATTGCAAAGTTCAATGACTATGTACAAAATACAGTGCAGTTCACTATAATCAAACAAGAAATAGATGCTGGCTGATTTGATGCTATTGGTTACTGCACAATTAAATGTCAATGCACACCACACATGAATTCATGCATAAATAAATATAATTTTAAAGTGTATTTGCAGTTTTGCAACCAAATTGGGATAACACCTTTTTATATATATTACAGGTTCCCATTCACATAGCACAACTTAAAAAATTAAATTGGTGGTTACATTCTTAAATGGTTTCGTCTTGTTGAAAATTTTTAGTTAGCTTTTCTTTACCTTGTTATGGAGGGGGCTGGGTAGGTAATGTTTACCATAATTACCCTGTCTGTACTGTGCTGTCAGATTTCATTATCAGATGTAAAGTAGATTTGAACTATGTTTGTCCTAACAAAGGGTTAAAGATCTCTGGGCTTGTATGTTAATGCACTTTAAAAAAAATGTCCCTGTCTGTCCCTTGTCTTCACATTGCCATCTATTCAAGGCAATAGACACTTGCCTGTTGAGTCCCGTGTATAGTCCTACTGCAAAGAAACAGCTAAAAATGTAAATTTAAAAATAAAAAAAAAATTATTTTAGGTTTGCTGTGTGAATGCGTATACACAACACACATATAGTTGGGATTCTCAAATTTGACTGTAAAGGTGGAAATACACTTTAAACAAGCACTAAAAATCTTTCATAAAGTGTGAAAATAAATGTAATTCAAATGACAGTTTAACCTAAATGTGGGCATCTACATATCTCATGTTTTTGTAAGAGCACCCAGGAGCTCCATGAACCTTATGCAAATATTCAGTTTTTCACTGTTGGTCTAGAAGGCTGCCCATAACCTTAAATGGCCTACACCAAGGTGCCATAGGCAGGCGTGGCGAGGCCAGTTTTAGGAAATAAAGGGGTCTATTCACAAAGCTGCCGAGGGCAGCCGAGTGAATGACCGATCAGAAGTGAAGTGAGCCGAACACTGTTCGGCTATTCACTTCAGGCTGGTACGGCTGATTTCAGCCGTACATCGGCTGAAATCAGCCGTACATCGGCTGAAATCAGCCGTACATCGGCTGAAATCAGCCGTACATCGGCTGAAATCAGCCGTACATCGGCTGAAATCAGCCGTACATCGGCTGAAATCAGCCGTACATCGGCTGAAATCAGCCGTACATCGGCTGAAATCAGCCGTACATCGGCTGAAATCAGCCGTACATCGGCTGAAATCAGCCGTACATCGGCTGAAATCAGCCGTACATCGGCTGAAATCAGCCGTACATCGGCTGAAATCAGCCGTACATCGGCTGAAATCAGCCGTACATCGGCTGAAATCAGCCGTACATCGGCTGAAATCAGCCGTACATCGGCTGAAATCAGCCGTACATCGGCTGAAATCAGCCGTACATCGGCTGAAATCAGCCGTACATCGGCTGAAATCAGCCGTACATCGGCTGAAATCAGCCGTACATCGGCTGAAATCAGCCGTACATCGGCTGAAATCAGCCGTACATCGGCTGAAATCAGCCGTACATCGGCTGAAATCAGCCGTACATCGGCTGAAATCAGCCGTACATCGGCTGAAATCAGCCGTACATCGGCTGAAATCAGCCGTACATCGGCTGAAATCAGCCGTACATCGGCTGAAATCAGCCGTACATCGGCTGAAATCAGCCGTACATCGGCTGAAATCAGCCGTACATCGGCTGAAATCAGCCGTACATCGGCTGAAATCAGCCGTACATCGGCTGAAATCAGCCGTACATCGGCTGAAATCAGCCGTACATCGGCTGAAATCAGCCGTACATCGGCTGAAATCAGCCGTACATCGGCTGAAATCAGCCGTACATCGGCTGAAATCAGCCGTACATCGGCTGAAATCAGCCGTACATCGGCTGAAATCAGCCGTACATCGGCTGAAATCAGCCGTACATCGGCTGAAATCAGCCGTACATCGGCTGAAATCAGCCGTACATCGGCTGAAATCAGCCGTACATCGGCTGAAATCAGCCGTACATCGGCTGAAATCAGCCGTACATCGGCTGAAATCAGCCGTACATCGGCTGAAATCAGCCGTACATCGGCTGAAATCAGCCGTACCAGCCTGAAGTGAATAGCCGAACAGTGTTCGGCTCACTTCACTTCTGATCGGTCATTCACTCGGCTGCCCTCGGCAGCTTTGTGAATAGACCCCAAAGTTTCTGTCTGACAAAATGTAATCTTTGAATCTCTGCAGTCAGCCGAGCCTATGGAAAAAGAGCATGCTTCCATGCGCAGCACCACTGGTCAGCAATTTCCATTACTTTACAGCATCACATAGAAGCTGCCTAAGCTGCTATGTCTACAGTTATATCCTTACTCACGGGAACGATAATGTGTGTCAGGTATCATTACAAAAAATGATGTTTTAAATCAGCAGAATAATCTTTATAAATGATTTTCTTTTACAATGCTACAGAAAATTATTTTCATACTAAACTTTAAAACCATAACTTTCAATCTCAAACTTTTACAAACTTAAGAAAAAAAACAGATGGAAATTTTAAGTAAAATAGGGAAAAGAAAAGCAGAATTCAGGTACTTTGCAACCCTTATAACCAGTCCTCTTATCGTACCTCTGTATCACACTGATCTGACCTGTAGCTTCAGGCCTACTTCATCCAGCTTCCAATGGAAGTCCACAAGGTTCATTCTGCTGCTGCGCTCTAAAGGCATGATTACCATAGATGACCCAGTGCTTGGCGATTTACAGAATTGCTGTAAATCTGTTCTATACCATGTTTTCTATAGGAAATGTTTTACATCCCTATAAATACTACCTGTAAACACCTGTATTATATTCTCTTTCCTTATGACCACCTCTTACCAAACCAGGAAGTGAGTAGAAACGAAGAGTAAGGCATCAATAAAAAAATTGGATTCCACCATTCCGTTTTTTTAAAAGACTAAAAAAAAGTTTGGACCTTCCACTTTATTACCACATTAATGGAAACCATTTTATATGAGAGCCTACCTGCATTATAGACAGATACAATATACTGAAAAGTGGCTACATGCACAAATGAATGCTTTTTTAATTTTTTCCATCTGTTAGAGTTTAGAGGATCCCAGAGTGTGTGCTTTTTATTTTATAGAAGGGGCTATTCTTTTGCCGAAATAACATTGCGGTTATTTTATGTCAGCAGTTTAGATATAAATAGTGCATAGCAGAATGAAGCTCAGAGCCTTTCTTGGTAATCAGTTCAGCACAACATCAAGCAGGGGAATGAGCCACGCAGTCCCCCACCAGATAACCAGGGTTGCAAGGAAGTTCTGAAGATGAAATGTTTGGTTGGGAAAAAATTAAAGACAAACTTTTTAGTAAATTTAGTACTTTGAGTTACTTGTGAAAAAGTAGAAAGCCTATAAAAAATGCCACTATGATGATCTACCTTTTCCAAAGATTTAAACTGGCCTGGTCCTGTATTTCCATCTGCCTTTGCTGTAAACACATTGTTCCTGGCTACCACCAAAGGGTGCTGTTTGGAGATGGGAGAACTGCAGTGCGTTAAGTTGAATAAGCAATCAGTCCACCAGGACCAGGTTTTTCATAGCAGTTTATACTCAGAGCCAGGAGACTGCAAGCAAATGGAAACAGGACATTTCTTCAGGATCCCATCATCCTGGCATTTTCTTAGCCGCTGCTGGAACAAGGGCACACACATATTTGTATATATATTAGTAAAAGTGCATTTATACTTGAAATTAAGTGCAAGGTTACTTATAAAGGTTTAATAAATTTCCCATTATTTAGCTCTATAGTTTGAGTGCCAGGGAAGAAAGGTTAGATTGGGTTGCTAACCTGTCAGTCACCTCACACACAGTGGCTAATTTATTAAAGGAGCTGAGAATCTTCACTCATTAAAGATAGAGATATGTAAAGATTCCCTTTAAGTATCCAATCACGTGAAAAGCAAATTCCTGTTGATCTATTTCATCTGCACATGATTGGGTATTAAAAGTGAACACTGCTACAATTTGAGTGGAGATTCTCTACACCTTTAGTAAATCAGCCTCACTGACTCTTAGCTCCTGAGATTGCCTCAGAGTATCATAGTTGTTTTCAATCCCCTTCAATTATATAGTACAAATGTACTTTGCTGCCCAATACTATTACGCATTTTTAGGAGTTGAGAGACAGAGAGGGCTCGTTTACACCATCAGCAACTGAACAATGGCAATCACCACTAGGGCACATGGGGAACAAAAGTAAATAGTGCGCCCCAGCAGACCTCACTCAGCACACTAGCTCACATGGTAAAACTCAGCATTTTAGCGTGCGGGTTAGTGTGATCGAGCCCTGAGTGAGGTCAGCAACTGTCAGACTTCAGGAGTGTCAGGCTCAGACAAACTAAATAAAGCTAAATAAGGGGGCATATACAGTACATATATTTTGTAACTAAAGCTGCAAAATTCTAATAATTTAAAGTACAATTGAAGTGTTATAACTTTTTATCTCTTTATGATCCTGTACACCCTGATGTTATGATTTTCCATTGAATATGCCTTGATATGCCTTAAATCAGCCTTTCTCAGTCAGGGTGCCGTGCCACTCTGGGGTGCCTTCTGGCTTCCCCAGGGGTACCTTGAAATCTTCACACAGCGTTGTGCCTTTTCATGGTTCAGACGAGCCAACCACCAGCACAAATAAGATGCATTATTGTTAATAATTAAGGTTCTTGAATGCATTTTTAAGAGTTTAGTGTCTGATTAGTTTTTAAATGCAAGCTTTGTTAGCAAAAAAAATGTTTAACATGATTTTCATATACTATTGATTTTTCTACCCAATCATATTTCCAGACCTTTTTTTTTTATACATATATATATGAATCAAATTTTGCAAATTCTGTGTATTTGTAACTGAAATGAAATTCTCTTTTACATGTTTGATGCTCCAGCCTTTTCTTGCTTAGTCTGGATAAATGTTCTTTCCAATGTACGCTGTAATTGCCAAGACAGGAAACAGTGCTACATTGTACTGGGTTTGTGCATTATTCTGGATGAGTGGGTTACTATTGGCTGTGTTAATTGTCTTTTACTGGAAAAGTTTTGTGTGAGGATAGAGAACGTAGTTGGAATGCAGCCTGTGACATGGCATTTACATTTTGTTGACAGAACGAAAATGAAGAAAATAACAGCAAGAACATTCAGAGTTTACTGTGCACGCCTATTAAGAATGGAAAGAAGAATAAAGTTATAGGTATTTATTCCATGTCTGCATTTTTTTTTGTCAAACTAGCAACAAAAAGTCTTAAACTCTTAAATCTTGAAAATTATTTAAAGGAAACAGCCAAAAAAAAAGAAATTATTAATGCTACCCACCAATCCAATCCATGCATCTGCCCAGTTTAAAATCCCAGTATTATTAGGCATGGGGTGAGCATGTGACAGTCCCTCTGTCCTTCCATAATGCAGTCCTTGGGGGCCACATGGCCAATCAACAAAACTGAGCATTAAGCAGGTATTGCGGGGGAGGGGGAGGCAATATACAGTATGTCAGCCAGGGAACTCACATTGTCAGAAGGTTTTAGCAATGGCAGCCCCCATATTTCTCTAATGACAGGTTTCTTTTAAATAGGCTCTTTGATGTTATCTAAAAGTTATCCATAGAAAAAAAATTATATTGAATACAAATGTAGAACTAGATCAATTGTTGCCAAAGTCATGTTGTCAATGTCTGAGTTTTAATCATCTTCCTTTTATGTTTTTGTTTTATATATGGCAGCTAAAGGTTTTATTATGCCGGAATACATTTTAAAAGAAGCATACACTTTCTGTATTGTCTTCACATGGCTATTTTCTGGCATGTAACTCTGCATTTTCTGGCATGCAAGTCTGCTCTTAAAACCTAAACATTTACTATAATATAATACTGTCCTTCTGCACAAATACTATCTCATGACCAAATAGCTTAAAGCAGGGGTAGCAAACCTCTGACCCTCCAGCTGTGGTGGAACTACAAATCCCATGAGGCATTGCAAGATTCTCACAGCCACAGACATGACTCCCGAAGAGAGATGCATCATGGGATTTGTAGTTTCACCACAGCTGGAGGGCCGGAGGTTTGCTACCCCTGGTTTAAAGGCTTTGGAGGAAATGATGTATGTCAGTTTAATCGTTAACTTCTAGTCAAGTACGGGACACAAAATGTACACAGAAAAACAAGCATACATAGCAATAGTTAAAACTTAAAAAGTACATTCAAGTACCTTAACTATTAACCAAAAAAAATCTTATTTGTACATCACTCAGCTGTAGATCCTCAAATAATCTCTGCTCCAAGCTCACTCCTGTGATAGACTACAATCTTAATACAAATTGGTAAACTAAACATGATATTGTAGTCCATCATAGGGAACAAAAGTAGCCACCCTCTAAAAGGAAGGACAGTGTCAACACCAATTCAGAGGTGATTTGATGATCTACAACTGAGTGATACACTAATAAGATACAGTTAGAGGAGTTTATAAAAATTGGAGCAGACAAAATCTGGAGCAGCTGTGCATGGTAGCCTGAGCAAAATGAAGCGAGAAGCTGCTTGGTTGCCATAGGCAACTGCTCCAAATTTTGTCTGTTCCAGTTTTGATAAATCTCCCCAAGTATTGTTAATAGTTAAGGTACTTGAATGCATTTTTAAAATTTAACTTCTGAGTACAAGAGTCTCATGCACTGTGATGCACTGTGATGACCTAGGCTAGGGTATAAACTGGTAATTAAAGTGTAGCTACACCTAAAAACAATTGCATTTTATTTATTTTTGTATTTTACATGACTGAAATTGCATTAGTAATTGTAGTAGAAGAGTGTAGTGGTGGAGGGAGGGTGCCATGAACTGTATAAGAAGCCAGTTCAGAATTCATCAGCCATTTACCTTTTAATGAGAGGGATTTGGACTAATGTAGCTTTTTTTGTAAGACCATGTAAAGGGCAATAATAAAGGTACAACATGCAGTAATACATGCCAACCAATAAGCCTTTAACATTTCCTTGGTTCAAAGTTGTCAGTACAATAAAACATTATTGCTGATTGGTTGCTTTGGTTTAGTGGGTTTAATGTAAGTATGCAAGTGGCTTCTTTATTTGGCTGGAAAGTGCTGATGTAAAGGAGACATGTCGTGAGAGAAATACATAGGCTATCATTGCTGACTAATAAGGATAGTTGCTTGGCTGTCATGCTGGTGCTATGACTTCAGTACTTAGAGTCACTGACCTAAAACCAGTGAAGAGGCAAGGAAATCTGACTTTTCTCTTGCTTTCAAGTTTGAGACTTAAGTTCAAGCACAGCCAAACATGTGACAAAAATGTATTATTAATATTACAAGCAGATTTTACAGCATGTGTATACACTAGTTTAATTAACCAATAAGACATAATTGACACCTTTCAGGTACACAGACATAAATGATCACTTTTTCCTTTAGTTCTGAAGCAACATTCTTGAATGTAGTAATGTCTCTGCTGGTGTATTTATCACAGGAGTTTGCCAACTTGTAAACAAGGTAGAAGAAAACGCTGGCAAAATCAAGACCTTCAACAGAAATGATGAGCAATTTTTGGAAGCCTTTGCAATTTTCTGTGGCTTGGGGATACAGAACACCCAGATGTATGAAGTTGTGGAGAGAGCAATGGCCAAACAAATGGTGACATTAGAGGTGAGTCCACAATAAAAGGATTGTTCTTGGCAGACTGTTACAATGCTGACATCTTGTTCAAGCATTAAATAATTATTGTCAAACACAAGCTTTTCGATACCCTCCTTAAGGATTTGTACTCCTCTGGCGCTGCTCTATACAAAGTTGGCTTAAGTTTATGTTCCAGACACCCATCTGTGTTTGTCTAAAAACTGCATTCTCTACTGCCTGATATTAAACTTCCTAAGAATACACTTCTTGACTCAGAACACACTGCAAAGAATTGTTAAAGGATGGATCAGAATTCAAAACATTACAGGAATGGCAATGGATTAATTAGATCACATTTATAAATACTGGAAAACAAAGGGCAGAAGCACATACTGATTATTCAGAATGTATATTTCTCTGACCTGGCTTCAGTCAATAAAAATGTATTGGATACCATACATTAGAAAACATTTATGGTATCCAATAATTTGCTTTTTATTTTGTATTATTAAATATGTTGTAAAGTAGGTAACAATGGTGAGTAGATTATACATTTTTGTCATAGGGTAGATTTACTAAAGTAGTAAACACTGTTGTCTACTTAGAAAATGTAATGTTCATTTAGGTGAACAGCCTCTACTCCTTTAGTAAATCAACTCCACATTTTTTGTTTTCTGTTGTGCTGTTTTAAAAACACCACTTTTTGTATGGCAGATTCTTTCATATCATGCATCTGCTGCTGAAGAGGAAACAATGGAGCTGCAGGTAACAGCGGTAAAAAACATTTTCTTTCTCTATTAGAATAATACATTATTATACATTGTGTATAGTAAATGTTTTAATATTACTGACAGTTTTATTAGTGCATTGTTTGAGATCTATTTATATTAGTTTGTATCCCACAAACAAGTTTATAATCTGTGTCTCTACAACACCCCAATTACAATTTGGATGGAAGCCCTATAGCCTATTGGTATGTTTTGGGGTTGTGAAAGGGAGCTAGGGCAAGGAGTCAAGGGAGAACATACAGACCCCATGCATCAAGCAGAGTAAAAGCAGCTTAATTCAGAATATGGTAGCCCCCCTGTCACATATCTAATTCAGGCATTTACTAGCAAATATGCAGGTGGGAACAACCTAATTAAACCATCGGAATAACATATATGTATATTGTTTGTTTTTCAGCACAGTCACTTGTCTTGAGCTAATGAGATGATTAATAAAGTAACTGCTCTTAGTCTTCGCTCATGCGGGTAGTGTTTGAGGCATTTAGCATGTAGCATTTAGGATTGTTTAAAAGAAGCAAAGAACGATGTGCAAAGTATACTAAACTTTTAACACTGTTAGCAATAACATGTCATTGTTCTGAATTCTCCAAATTGACAACCAGTCAGTGAGGGCTTCCCCATTTTGCAAATCATCATTTATCTTTGCATGGGTTTATTAAAGAAGGCTTACTTTGACTAAAGTTCATATGTTGTCTGTCTACAATGGAAAATGCATAAATCTGTTCCTTTGTCATTGTAAGTGTACAGATGCAAGCTTTCTCAAATGGCAAGACTAGAAATGAAAGCATTTGGTAGTTTATCTGTCTTCTGCAGTAAGGTACCGCCAGACTTTGGAGGAAGTCTGTGAAGTCTGGCCGTTTATGGTCAGATCAGGGTACATGCCTGATTAAAACCCTGAACACAGTGTCTAATAAGGGATGAATCATTCCTCTGACTATTGCTTTTCTGTACACAACTGCCTTTTTTGCAACAGACCAGCAAAGGAGAAAAAGGAAACCTGAAAATAACCCTAAAGCTAGCCATACACTAGTAGATTTCCGAACGAACGATTATACGAAAGATCTTTCTTTACCACTCGTAAAGACTTGAAGTCTATAGGGCCAAAAACATCCCATTCTGCTTCAGAAGTAGTAGTAGTACATTTTTGAGTTTTAGGCATCAAGCTACAGGCACTTGAGTGAACATATGTGAACAGCCACAATTTAAAAGCATGGGATGTTGGTCATTGTGCATTTTGGAGCTTTGAGCTTCATGTTACAAAATGCTCAGGTATGAATCAGTTAACATTCCACCTGGTGGCTGGATAGAAGACTTCTTAACATTAATATCCAGTACTTTCTATTTGCTTGACTAAAAAATATACAGAAAATATTTTTTTTGTCATGACCATAATAAACAAATTATGTACAATGGACACTATAAATTATCTTTAAAGTGAACCTGAGAGAATAGAATTATTGGATCTGGAGTTGGATTTTAAATGTGCAGGCAACCGGGGCAAAAATCCTAATCCTGGTTTTACTACCTATTAGGTATTTGCCCTGGAACAAGCATGCAGCCATCAAAATGTAAAAAAATGTAACTCTTGTCATGCATTAAATTACTCAAGGTCCACAACTCATTAGGGTGTTAAATCAGGATCACAATGACAGCCCAGAAGCCTTTACCTTTAAAAAAAAAAAAGTAAGCAAAGTTCCCTTTAAATATGCACCTGGGCACACATTCATGGACACAATAATGCTAAATACCTTAATTTCTACCAAAGCATATCGATTGTAACATATGCATTCTTCGGAAGCCGATTAATCGATTATTGAAAAAGTTGACAACTTTTTCAATAATCGATTATAATCGATTATGTCGATTAGTTGTTGCAGCCCTATCGGTAACTATTTTTTAATGTAGTAATTATAAGGCATATAAGGCTAAGCAGCTTTTAGTTAGACAGCTGGTATTGTCCTGGGGCAAATATAAACATTTCATTAGCAACAAGATTCCATGAACCACATAGAGGACACCATATGGGATTTTACATGCAGATAGTTGCTGTTGTTATTTAACTCTTGAAGCAGGAACAAGGAGTGATAGCAGTCACAGCACTTAGATTATTTAGTCATTATTATTCTAATGTTCCTATAAAAGCAGTGCTAGAAGAGTTGTGGGCAGTGTGTTACAGGTACAAGCAGCTATTGGGCCTCATTTACTATTTCATGGAAATCCTAGTTGTGCTGCTCATAGCAACTACATTTCTCCGTGGCTGAAGGAAACATTGAGAACTATTAATATATTTTATTATTGTTATAATACAGGATTTATATAGCGCCAACATTTTGAGCAGCACTTTACAAAATGGGGGGAGACAATACAGTTACAATACAATTTCAATATATGAGGGTTAAGAGGGCCCTGTTCATGAAAACCTTACTAGTAGGAGGGTCAAGTAATAAGAGAGAAGAAAATGCAGTGATGTACTAAACTCTGTGAGAATGATGAGTTCCGACGAGAGGTTTCAAACAACCATATTTAAGAGGTTGCGGAGAACATAGCTGTCCCCTTGCAGAAGCGGTCACACTCAATGCTGGGTGGGGTGAGTCATATGATCCTATGCATTACGGCCTAGAAATGCTATTATATTTATAGTTAAAGGCCTTGAAGTCCCCAAAAATTAGAATGAAGTGGCAGCAGATGTGCTTGGAAACTAATTCCTCATTAAGTTGATGTTTATTAACCACAGAATCATTTAAGCAATGTTTGATGATTTTGTTCATTAAAAACACTCAGGAATATTCTCTTAAATTCCATTGAATAATTGTTAAATGTGAGATCGTATAGATGCTGCATGACTTCATTACAGTATAATTTGTTTTAATTTACAGTTTTACAATTCAACTATTAGCAGAAATAATACAGTGTTGTATATTGTTTGCTATGGATTTTGACATCAGTAGCAGAAGCTCCTGGTTAACTTCCTATTCCCTCTTGCATATAGATCACCTATATTATTTGTGATGTGCCTTTAGCTAATTGATGTTTCTTGTCTTGCAAAGGGAGCTGTCGTGCCATCTGCACAATCACTTAAATTAACGGACTTCTACTTCAGTGACTTTGATCTCTCTGACATAGAAACCACATTAGCCACAAGTCGAATGTTCACAGACCTCAACCTTGTGCAGACCTTCCAAATGAAATACGAGGTAGGAACACTGTGAAAAGCATACTGAACCGAACTAATTTTGGACTAGTTAAATGATTTTTAATTGCAGCGGTCTGTTTATTCTGGACTCTATGGCTTAGCAATGACTTAACTGAGGAAACACTTCCTGAGCCAACTATGGAACACCCTGTGTGTTCATGTGAAATAATATCTTTGTTTGTGAGATTTTTATTATGCTATAATTTCATTACAATTTGTGAACTATAAACAGAGTGAAGTGGGGTTCCCAATAACACTGGATCGATGCCTGGTGACAGTTTACTGTTGATTCTAGTGTTTTTTTGGACTACAGTTAGCGTCTGTTTGGGCCAGGCAGATACTTAAAACCTTATTAGAGCAATTGTAGATATATACAGGCGTTAGAGATGGAAAGGCAGCCTGCACCCCTGCAGAAACCCCTAACAGCATACTTAAATCCTTATTAGAGCAATTGTAGATATATACAGACTTTAGAGATGGAAAGGCAGCCTGCACCCCTGCAGAAACCCCTAACATCATACTTAAATCCTTATTAGAGCAATTGTAGATATATACAGACTTTAGAGATGGAAAGGCAGCCTGCACCCCTGCAGAAACCCCTAACATCATACTCACTTGGGTAAAGGGGCCCATCCAAAGGAGCACCATGAATGAACAGGAATTGTAGGCCCACATTGTACAGGCAGTCTGGTCCATGTACATTTTAATGCAACAAAAAGCAAGGCTTTATTAACTCGATATATGATGATACAGCAGGCACTGGAGAGCATACCCATCTGGCATGCAGGGGGAAATATATACCATAACTGAATTAAAAGAGGACGACAAAAATATGTACCTTTTTGTTGCAATAATGAAGTGCCAAAGTAATAGTTAAAGAAAAAGTCTTGATTTTTAAGCTTTTTAAAGGAGAACTATGGGGTTATGGCTTTTCCCCATAGTTCTCCTTAGGAGAAACTAGCGTCCTCCCGTCACCCTAGGCTCAGTATACCGCAAGCTGTAGCTCGCGGTATACTGAGACGCCCCAGTATACCGCGAGCTGCTGCGGCCTTATAATGTTCATTGACTGTTATGCTCTACCATTTTATTTACAGACTCTCTGTAGATGGATTTTAAGTGTGAAGAAAAACTATAGGAAGAATGTAGCCTACCACAACTGGAGACATGCCTTTAATACAGCACAATGTATGTTTGCTGCACTGAAGACTGGCAAGATTCAGGTACTGAACTCAAATTGCATTAAACAGTACAGAAGATGCTTTTAATTGCAAAAAATAGCTGCCATCTTTTACACCAACATATTGCTTTAGAGTTGGGAATACAAGCATAGATTGAAAATAATACAGAACACAGCTTATTACACTTGTGTGTTTATGAGAGACACAGTACACTAATCCTACTATTAGAACAGCATATCTGACTATACTTACTTACAGCACAGAAAATGTAATGAGCAGCCCAGCCAAAACTGATATTTTGATGAGCTAACTTCTTGCTTCTAATATGTCTTGGATCAGTGGTGATCAACTTTCTGGCTATGGGGCAGGGCGTCCCGATGCTGGGTGACACCCCCCTTGTGATGCCACTGCTATAGGGGGCCTCTGGATATAGGGGGTTCTGATAGCATCAAAGAGCCAAACGCAATATTCAGTGAAGGTAATAATACAAAAAACTCTCAGAAACTGCAGACATGCAACAGGAGATGGTCAGGGACTGCAGACATGCTACAGGAGATGTCAGGGACTACAAACATGCTACAGTAGATGGTCAGGGACTGCAGACATGTAACAGGAGATGTCAGGGCTGAAGACTTGCAACATGAGATGGTAGGGAAAACGATTAACCTATTCAAAAAGATATACCAAAAGCATGGAAGCGACATCAAGTTAGCCATTGTACTGATGCGGCAAGGAAATGGTGATGTATTTAAATGGTATATTTGTCTGTACTAATGTTACTGTGTCTATCTGATGAAGGGGTCCTGCGCCACCCTGAAACTGCAGACATGCTACAGGATGTGTCAGGGACTGCAGACATGCTACAGGAGATGTCAGGGACTGCAGACATGCTAAAGGATGTGTCAGGGACTGCAGACAGGCTACAGGAGATGTCAGGGACTGCAGACATGTCACAGGATGTGTCAGGGACTGCAGACGTGCTGCAGGAGATGGCCAGAGATTGGGAACATGCTATAGCATATGTTGGAGTCTGTGGACATGCTTCAGGAGACACATTACATGAGACTGATAGAGATCACTGCTATACCAGCCCCCATATAAATCAATACTTCCACATTTTTGCCCCTACAACCTACTTAGGAACTACTTGTGCCATAGCAAGATCCATTATAAGGAAAGGACAGCGCAGAAAAGTGAAACACATTACCAAAGTATTTTATTACTAGAAGCCAGTCTAAAGAATATTTTTCCTTCACTGGTCTGAGTAAGCACCTAGGTAAGATAAGCACAGGCTGTTGTGTTCAGGGGCTCAGAGAGGCGTGTCAAAGGGCCACATGCAGCCCCCAGACCACAAATTGGGTACCAAGGTCTTGGATACTTTAACAGCCACATTTCCAAACCATAATTCCTGACACTGTTTCTGTTCTTCACGGAATTTGGGTGTTCCTGTCCAAATGCACATGCTCCAGCAACTCCTTGCACAATATAAAATAAAACGTCCAGCAGAGAGAGTATAGGAACCTCCTCTATACAATGACCTGCAGGAGGTGTGTAGATCCCTGAACTGAACTGCAGATATTTCTAGTAGCATATTGCTAGGTGGTTTATCTGACAATAGCTGAAATATCATGTTTTAGCAGATTTAGAAAAAACTGAAGTGTACAAAGGTTTGTGTTTATTAAAGAATCATTAAGTGTATTATTAACAGCAACTAGTGTGAGTATCTGAATCTCACCTGATATGAGCCTTTTTATCCCCTGTACAACAGACAGTCAGTTATTCTGCAGTGCTCTTGTGCTTAAAAACAGAAACATGCTAACAGGAGGAGAGAATTGAGTGACAGAGAGATGTACTCATCAGTCTGCTGCTTCTTAACCAAGAACTACAGGTGAAACTCGAATAATTAGAATATCGTGCAAAGTTCATTTATTTCACTAATGCAACTTAAAAGGTGAAACTAATATATGAGATAGACTCACTACATGCAAAGCAAGATAATTCAAGCCGTGATTTGTCATAATTGTGATGATTATGGCTTACAGCTCATGAAAACCCCAAGAACCCCAAATCCACAACCTCAAAAAAGTAGATTATTACATGCAATCAATAAAACAAGGATTGTACATAGAACAATATCGGACCTCTGAAAAGTACAAGCATGCATATGTACTTAGTACTTGGTTTGGGCCCCTTTTGCAGCACTTACTGCAATTACTTTTGCACGATATTCTAATTATTCGAGTTTCACCTGTAGTTGTATTTCTTAACTGCAGTATAGAAAGGTCAGGCCTGCAGGCTGGCTGTGTTGTGTGGCAGAGCTGTGTAAATTTCACAAATGAATGGACAGAAATACAAATCCTTTGACAGGTAAAATAACTCTAATATCTATACTTTATTTGTGCATTTAGCTAGGGCTGTAACAACTAATCGATAATGAGAATCAGTGTCAACAATTCTCATTATCGATTTGCTGATTCTAATTAGTTGATTCAGTGCCCAAACGCTCAGCCGACCGACCCCTCGCTGCCACCGCCTCAGCTCTGCTTAGCCACTGCCGCGTCCTCAACTCTTTGTAGCCATTCTCAATCCCCTCGCTGCCGCTCTCCTCCCCGCTGCAGTCTGTGTCTTAAATTTCTGTGAGTGAGAGATAGAGAGATACCAGAGAGGGGGCGGGTCAGGACACGGCGCTGCTCAATGATCAGAGAGCCTCGAAGGCAGTGGGTGTGTGCAATAGCCAATCTGCTATTGTAATTTTAAATAGCCAATAGCAGGCTGGTTATTGCACCCGCCCACTGCCTGCTGTCAATCAGCAGAGGAAGACCTGAAGGAGAACTTGCTCCTTTAGGTCCCTCCTCTGCTGGCTGGCAGCGGGCGGGGGGGAAAAGCCACCCGCCGTTACACCGAGGCCTGGCTGCTTAATCTTGTGGTACCGGTACAGCTCAATGTGAGAGCAAAACAGCGCTGAACGCAGAGGTCTAGAATAGATTACTCAAGTGAGATATGATGTATCCAAAAGTAGCTGTTTCTTCAAGTAGCTGTTTCTTCAACTACACCATGGATACAGGGCCGTCTTTATTACTGATTGGACCCTGGGCAAACATTTGCTTGGGCCCCCCCCCCCCCCCCCCCATGTAATAGCAATGAGGTTAAAAGAAAAAAAAGTTTACAAAAAAAAGGTAAATAAAATAAATTTAAAAATACACAAAAATAATGTAAAAAAATTGTCCCCCGCCCCCCACAAAAGCGTGCATACGAACAGAAACACAAGTTGGATGCACCTCTGTACAAAAATGACGATTGCGCTACACATGTCAGGTATTGTCACGTGCACCAGAGTGAGAGCAATAATTCCCAGGCCAATATTCATGGCTAACTCAAAACTGATGACCGGACTTTTATAAAGAAAAGCTTGGTTATTTTATTATATTGGCTTGGAGTTTTTCAATTCAGATTATTTTAAATCCATGAAACTAATTTAAATGTCTAATATAATACATACAAATATTTTTTTTTAAATTACAAAAGGTGGGAAGAAAATAATTTTGGGTTTCAGCCTGACAAATTCTGCTGCAGGAGATTTCAATGCCACCCCAAACACGCATTCCCACCCACAGTGCGATCGTCTGCATTGGAACGCACGGTACTTCAATGCCCTGTGTTCCAGTGTGGTGCGATTGCAAAAAATTGTGCATGCATAAAATAAATAAATTAAATTAAATAAAACAAATTTTTGTTTGAAAAAATTCATTTATGTATTTTATTTTAAATAGAAGATGGTATATACATTTTTTTAATCCAATTAATGGAAAAACAAATCGGTCAACTAACCGATTATGAAAATAATCATTAGTTGCAGCCCTACATTTAGCTGTTTGCCTGGAATTCAGCTTTGTAGGCAAAATGTGTTCACTGATTCAAAGGCTTCTGTGTAGCACCAGGAAGTAGTCTTTTCATCCCACAATCCTCCTCACCACTGCTTTAATTTCTCCTCTGAAGGAAGGTGAACACAATAAATTATTTTCTCTCAGTCCAAATGCGACAGAACAAAACCTGACTCTGACCACTTCTTAATTGTGTGTCTGTTTAGAGTGAAATGTTGCTGCTTCTGCAGCAATAAACCTGTCTCAGAACTTTGCAAACTGTCACACTTGGCTGCCCAGGAATACAGGCTCATGGGTCCTTAAACCTGTGGCATGAGACCTCTGAAGGATAGGCCTGATTTGTGACTAATTATGTTGCTAATTTGCTTGATAAATGTCCCCCAGTGTGTTCTCCAAGAAACCATCTGAAGCTTGTTGTGTCATATTTCACATTATCTTCACTATTAGATCACTTTCCAATTCTGAGATCAAGAAGTGCTTCAGTTATTTTGCACTTGTACATATTACATTTTTGTCTCCATGATTAAGCCCTAAACGGGTGAAACGCGTTAGAGGGGAGGCTTCTAGGTGGGGAGTCTCAGCGTGCTGACAGTTCTTAGCCCTATGGATTAAACGTTACTGTTGTTGGTGGACTGTGGCTTCTTCTCTTCAGTTACAAAAATGTTATGCTTCCATTGATCTATCAGGAAGGAATATTTGTGACATATTTGTTTTTTTAACACTCATTTACAAATAATTTTGTTCAAGGTATTTATTGTCATTAATTCCCTTAGAGTAAACTATCTGATCTGGAGATTTTGGCTTTGATGATTGCCACATTGAGCCATGATTTGGATCACAGAGGGGTCAATAACTCCTTTATACAGAGGTAAGAGCATGCTTTATGAAAAGTACTAATGTACTAGTATAAGAGCCATTTTGCCTAGATGATCAGTGTGAATTTATAAAACAATACAGTGGGTCGTCAACACACTTTCAAGCTAGCCAAACCCCCCTCTCCTAACTAATCTGTTTAAACTACACAGGTTAAAAACAGAGGTTTTAGTTATACATATGTACATACATCCAGAAACCACACGGCCGCATCAAGGCACCTCTGATGTTTGAGAGTTTCAAATAGATGAGAAAGGCTGCCATTGTTTTTAATTTTTTTGTGAATTTGTACTAACCATTGAACGGCTCACTTAGGTAATCTCCTGCATTGGTATTTTATGTTAGGTAGCCAATTCTTTTCACCAAATATAAACAAGTCAACAAGGCTACAAAAAAGAACTGACAGTTATTGTACTCTAAAAGTCCTATGTTTCTATGAGTGTTATTCACAAAGCTGCCGAAGGATCTAGCTGTAGCTTCGGCTGATCCTTTGGCTAGCTTCGGCCCCAGGACCCCTTCGGTTCAGTAGAACCAAAGGACTACTGTAGGGCTATTCACTATAGCCCGTACAGCTCCCAAAGTTGGCTCAGTCAAGCTGAAGGCATAGGCTTCGGCTCGACTGAGCCAAGGTGAAAGCCCAAGCTGGCCGATCAGCCGGCCGAAAGCCTGCTACTAACAGCTGGGCAGAGCCAGCCGTCATCTCACGGCTGGCTCCGGCCACTTGCAGAGACAGATCAGCGTCCCCTGGTTACCAGGTAACCAGGGATGCTAATCTGTCATTACGATGAGAGCTTAGCAGAGCCGGTGGTGATATGAAAGCTGCCTCTGCTGAGCGCTCATCCTAATGACAGAACAGCAACCACTGGTTACTAGGTAACCAGGGGACGCTGTTTTGTCATTAGGATGAGAGCCTCGCAGAGCCGGCTTTCATATCACCGCCGACTCTGACAAGCTCTCATTGTAATGACACCTGTCCCGGCCAATAGAAAACAGTTGGGCGGAGCTAGCTCTCACTGATAGCTGCCCAATCGTTTTCTATTTTTTTCTACTTTTTTTAACTGTTTTTCTATTCTGCTCAGTACCACAGAGGTACCGAGCAGAATAGCCGAGTCGAATGTCGCTCAGCGTCATTCGGCTATTCACTCACTGCTGTTCGGCCCCTATGAGAATAGGCCGAACAGCAGCGAGTAGTCTGCCGGAGGTTCGGCCCAGCCGATCTAGATGTTGGATCGGCTGAGCCAAACTCCTTCTGCACTTCGGGTCGGCCGAACAGGCTGAGCATGTTCAGCCGACCCGAAGCAATGTACGGCTGAAATCAGCTGTACAAGCATGAAGTGAATAGCCGAACAGCGTTCGACTCACTTCACTTTGGGCCGGTTATTCATACGGCTGCCTTTGGCAGCTTTGTGAATAACCCCCTATGTGTTATTGAACATAGAAAAGGGTAGATTGGTTCATGCCCAAATTCACAAATTAGAGCAACATTTAAAGGGCTGGAGGAGGCAAATTTACTTGTCATGGTTAGCTATGACTTCAGTAATTGGACCAAGCAAATTCCATAGAACAATCCCTGTAAGTAAGAGTAGGATTACTCAACCAAATCTATGACAACCACTGCAAAATAATTGCAAACCATAAAACTGCCTCAAAGTCAAATAAAAAGTTACAGGCTTTTGTGGCTTGGATTTGACTTTACTATGTGGTTCCAGACATCTGTCAGTGGAAGAGGAGATCACATGTGTGGTAGTCATTTGGTGCGTAATACAAGCTCCTCTATAGTCATTATGGCTGCATGGAAAGGAGGAGATGCTGTGCCATTTGTGAAGAGGAACAGAGCTGGGAGGAATTTTTGGCATAACGATGAAATACCACAATGGTTTCCGATCTTAATTTAAAATGCAGGAACTAAAGTCACATGTGGCTGGAAAGTTTTCTTACCATTAGGACATGAGTACTGGAGACATTTTTATGTCCCTCATAAATAACAAACGAGGCATCGATATAGGACCAAATGCAAATCGTATTGTGAAATGAAGGTCTGCTTTTCAGGTTTAAAAATGGATAAGTTAGGGGACTGAACTTCATTTGTGCCAAATGTTATGACATTGTGCTATGTGCATCAACTTATGGCAATCTGGATGTCGCAACACTTCTTAAAACTCAACCTTTCAAAAACTGAGCTCTTGATATTTCCTCCTGCCCGTGCACCTTCCCCCAACTTTTCCCTTGAGATTGTTAACACAACTATCCAGCCCTCCCCCCATGCCAAGGTCCTAGGTGTCATCCTTGACTCGGACCTCACCTTTCTCCCCCACATCCAATCACTATCCAAATCATGCCGCCTCCACCTTCGTAACATCTCCAAAATACGCTCCTTCCTCACCAAAGATACCACAAAATTGCTCATCCACTCCCTTGTTATCTCTCGTCTTGACTATTGCAACTCCCTCCTCATTGGCCTACCTCTACACAGGCTATCCCCCCTTCAGTCTATCATGAATGCAGCTGCTAGGCTCATCCACCTAACCAACCGCTCAGTGTCTGCAACCCCCCTCTGTCAATCCCTACACTGGCTTCCTATAGCCCAAAGGATAAAATTCAAAATATTAACAACCGCGTACAAAGCCATCCACAACTCTGGCCCCGGCTATATCTCCAACCTGGTCTCAAAGTATTACCCTAACCGTCCCCTCCGCTCTTCACAAGACCTCCTGCTTTCCAGCTCCGTCATCAACTCCTCCCATGCTCGCCTCCAGGACTTCACTAGAGTGTCTCCCATTCTATGGAACTCTCTACCCCAACCTGTCCGTCTATCTCCCACACTGACTGCCTTTAGGCGATCCCTTAAGACTCATCTCTTCAGGGAAGCCTATCCCACCTCAACCTAACCACTGAACAATCACTTTCTCAAACAATCATCCCCGCACAGCTACCTCCTCATGTATCACTTGCCCCTCCCTTTTAGATTGTAAGCCCTCACGGGCAGGGCCCTCCTTACCATCTTGTCTTAAATTGTATTGTGACTGTAATGTCTACCTTATATTGTAAAGCGCTGTGCAAACTATTGGCGCTATATAAATCCTGTATTATAATAATAATAATAATAACTTGTCATCATTTTGATGCTTGAGCAGTAGCAGCTACAATTTTAAACTACATGTAAACCCATATACTAAAATCTTATATAAACTTTAACAATAAAGGTGATTTCTGAGGGCATTTTTTATTTTTTTCACAACTTGCAGCTTTCATTAAAATAAAACATTGTGATCCTGCCATGAAGGTTCTTGTGCAGGCACTTCCTGTTATAAGGTAACAACGCTCTGTTCCTGTGTCCCAGTTGAGCTCTTGCATTGTCATGCTGTCACACAGGATTCTGGTGGAGACTACAAGTGGCTGAAGCAGCCATTACAAAAGCATGGTCCATTTTTGCCACCATCAGGAAACCCAACCTAACAAATAACATCCAGCCATCAATGAAATCTCATTGCATGTAGAGACGGGAACTGGCAGCAAGGAGGTCAGCAGCAGTAAGATGTAGCATTCAAAATATATATAGATATATCTATATATATTTAACTTACAGTAAACATGGTACAGTAAACTCCCCGTTATCCAGCATCCATTGGGATTGGTGGATTCCGGGTAAATGTGGTTTCTGGTTGCTTGAGAGTTACTATTAAAAATAGGTCTAACTAATGCTATACCTCATACTATACCATAACATAAACTCTGTATTGACTTCCTATTAATATTGAAATACAGTAATTAAAAGCAAATAAGACAAATAGACACACTTAACTTAATGTCATTGATTGTGGATGAACCAATATTCAATTCCTTCATTAGCCCCGTACGATTCTCACCTTTCCCAAGCCTCCTGCATATTTGCATCTTCTGCTTGAGGGTAAGCACTATGCGTTTACGCTTACTTGGGACCTGGTTTGCCATACTGTACTTGGGGCGGTGTGACAACACAAAATTTCAATACAGTTCAGTACTGTAAAACAGGTGCTTTAATACGGGTGCTGTAATACAGGTGCTGCAATATGGGTGCTGTAATACAGGTGCTGTAATATGGGTGCTGTAATAGTGCTGCAATATGGGTGCTGTAATACAGGTGCTGTAATATGGGTGCTGTAATACAGGTGCTGTAATAGTACCGTAATACAGGTGCTGTAATAGTACCGTAATACAGGTGCTGTAATAGTACCGTAATACAGGTGCTGTACTACAGGTGCTGTACTACAGGTGCTGTAATAGTGTTGTAATATGGGTGCTGTAATACAGGTGCTGTTATAGTGCTGTAATAGTGATGTAATACAGGTGCTGTGATAGTACTGTGATACAGGTGGTGTAATAGTGTTGTAATACAGGTGCTGTAATATGGGTGCTGTAATGCAGGTGCTCTAATAGTGCTGTATTACAGGTGCTGTAATACTGTACTGTAGATCCCAGCTGACCAGAGCAATAGAGTAAACAGAGGTGTGTGCTTACTTAGGTTCCGGTGTGCCCAGGGGCTGCCTGACAGCTGGACTGGGGATCTGTACTGTACCATATGCCATCCTCTGCACGCAGTACTAGGAGTGATCACCAGGGGGCACATGCAGCGCTTGACCACAATGGTAAAGAAACGCAAATGATTGATTCCCCATTTACGTCAAATTTTCACAACTGCTGCAACACTTAAGTCACTTATGTCAGATCTGCGACAGTCCTCTGCATCTGAAATTATACACAGAACAGTCGCAATGTTAAGAAGTCTGCCTGAGGACTTCTTAAAGTAGTGCAATTTAGTGCCGGCTGTGTTATCCTGTCATAGAAGTCTTCTCACTGCTTCTTTAACCCCTTCCTGCGGAAAACAGCTCTACATACCCTTCTCATTTCTGTCTAAACTTTGACTTCCCATCCATAATGCTTCCATGTCAGTGACTGGTATGTGAAAGGGTTAAAGAGTTTTTTTTGTAGTTCGGAGAAGCTGTGAACACATCAAGA